GCCGTAAAAAATGAATGGTGGTGTGATCCTACATCTGCTGCTGCTGCTGCTGAATGTTTTATTACCATATACTGCTAGCACTGTGTTATTAGTAGTAACCTACAGTCCTGTGTCATTTTTATCTGTTGCTATGGGAAACATGCTATTCAAATTTTCTCAATTTTGACTAGGTTCCTTTAAAAATATTAGCAACATTTATATCTTCAAATAAATTTATTATAAAAAATAGATTCAGTGATCTGTCTAATGATACTAATTATCTATTATAAATATTAATATTTTCTTGTATATGTTTAGTCAAAGGGTCTGTTTGGATCCACCAACTAAACCTTAGCTGACTAAATTTAGTTGCTAGGGATATAAACAGCCTAGCTAAAAGACCCGCTAAACTTTAGCTGAGTTTAGCTGCTTCAACCTAGCTAAACTCAGCTAAAGTTTAGATGAGTCTATTACCTGGAGGATCTAAACACTCCAGCTAAAGTTTAGCTTAATTTTAGCTAGCAACTTTCGTTGAGTGGATCCAAACAGGGACAATAGTTGAGTACGTTTGATTTCTCAAGAAGTGAGAACAACAGATAAAAAGGGACGGATAGAGTAATTTAAACCGCGTAATCACTACACCATAGTAACACGGCTTTTTAACCCGTTTCTAGCCCCTTTGTATTGCTCCCACCGGGAGCATGCATGCTATTGTAAGGGCAGCTCCAACAATGTTAAACCAACTAGCTCATAGATCATTTATTCAGCAAAAAGGAGAGAGAATGGTAAGGTAGCTCTTCATGGACAATGTTAAAACATCTAGCTCATAGAAATATTAATTCAACAAAAAAAGGAGAGAGAATGGTATAAGGTAGCTCTTCATGAAGAGCTAAGCGCATACACTTTTCTATGATTCATGTGTCTATATATGCTCACACGTTTTGCTATAGTAGCATATAGGTTTCTCTATTTTTATCCTTTTTTAAGTTCATATTGCATTAGTAGCAAGTTGGCTCTATTGGTGAGGGTGTCCAAAGGAGTAGTTATGGCTACCGATTTTAGAGCCGGGAGTAATATATTTTCAACACGCAAAAAAAAAGAACGAGAACTCCATGGTTGCCGCCATTACGACCTGCTCATTTTTGGCTTTCTTTTAGTAACAAGCTTAGTATATAGTTGTTAAAATCACGATTCTATGATGCGATTTTACGGCTTTGCCATGCATCCTAGTTTATCGGGTTGAATCTCCATTCTAATATATTCTTATGATTATTCTATGCTTTGCGATCCTGCTATTCAAGGTCCAATCTGATAAGGATCACGATTTTAACAACACGACCTTGAAACATAAATTGTATTATCTCCGAAAATCGATCATACATACAAGTCCCAAATTAATGTCATGAGTCAGACATCAATCTCATTCTAGGTAAACAACCGGGAGTAGTACATTCATCACTAACTGTTCATTCCTCGCCAATTGTAAAGATGGTTTCTATAGCGGTAACTATATGGCTATGTTCGGTAGGATTTATTGCTGCTGCGGCTGATTTGTTATGAAAGAAAAACAATATTCTATGACTGAAAAGTAGAGTTGATTTTGGCTTATAAGTTCAAGCGATTAGAGCCTATATATTACTAGTATATATAAAAAAACATAGTATGATTTGTTTTTGTGTGTGAGTGATGATGCAAGGCAAAGGTGTGGAGGACTACTACTGGAGCCGGGCCCGCCAGCCAGACAGCTCGAACATGAGGTGCCGATGCATGCATACTACTCCGTATGCACGAGAGGGCGGGAGTAGGTTGTAGGTAGATAGCAAGCACTTTTGTCGTCGATATTTCTTGAATTCAGAGCGAGCCAATACTGGCCGTGGCCGGCTGGAGCTAGGTAGACTTGGATATGATTGAGAGCTGAGTGGAGCATCGTTTTGTGATTAACCCTTGATGATCCTTGGAAATGCATGGAGACGACAGGAGTAGCATGCGGCCTTGCCTTGCCTCTCTATATCTGTTTGAAACTTTGCAGAGAGAGAGAGAGAGAGAGAGAGAGAGAGAGAGAGAGAGAGAGAGAGAGAGAGAGAGAGAGAGAGGAGGAGGAGGAGGAGGAGCTCAGAAGCAGCGACAGCAGCAGCAGGGGTGGTAGTGTGTGAGAGTGAGTGTGGGAGTGTGTGGAGGTGAGTGAAGAGACCTGGTTGGCGCTGTTGGGGATGAGCTGTCAGCAGCATTAGATGCTCCCCGCTCTGACACCCCGCACCTGCGATGTCTCCCCCCGCCCCGTCGCTCCGCTACCCCGCTCCCGTCTACCCACGGACAACACATACACATCATTGAATTGAAAGAAGCCACAACACAGGTGGGTGATGGTTGTGGTGGTGCAGGACTCTTGCCATAGAGCTCCTCCCTCTGGTCTCTTATTATGTGGACCGTGGCATCTTTGTGACGTCCTCGGATTCGATCAGATAAAATAAAAAAGACACGGTTACATAGTCGAGCATTTATTTATTTTATTGTAAACTCATTACTATTGGTTGCTTTTAATCGAAACATTAAACCTAGGTAAATACTACCTCCATCCAGAAAAGAAAAGAATGTAATTTGGTTCTGTATATACTAGTCAAACTATCTAAAGTTTGACCAAATATGTAGAAAATAGTATGAATAGTTGCACGTGGCACAAAATAGAGATACTATGCAAATACGTTTTTCATAATTGACCGACGATATATACTTATTTAGTATCACAAATATTGATATTTTTTTGTATAAACTTGGTCAAAGTTATTAAGATGGTTTTGCCTTGGTACTATTATTTCTAGAATTGTGGTACTTTTCAGACGGATGGAGTAGTCTAGAACTACAAAGATGATGGGAGAATAAGTTAATGATTTATACGGCTAACTTATGCTAAATGGAGAAGGGTAGAAAAAAATATTGACGTTGTTATTGCTAGTCGTGTGCATTACAAGAGGAAACTAGACCCTCTCTCCTGTTATAATAAATACTAAACTCTGCTACAGTTAACTATCATACTTAGTTTATACTGCGGTAGGTCTTAGTTTATCCTATGGCATCACTAACAGAGAAGTTCTTGCTCACACACAGTTTGAATTGGTAAGTAAAATAAGTGATAAGAAGGACAGTGTGTGGGAGGGGGTGCGTTTGTGGGGGGCTTTCTAGCGTTTCTCAGGCGTGTCTCGGCTCAAAGGGAAAAGGGGCCGCTCTGCCCTCTTTAGCTCCTCATCATTCCAAGGCCCCACGAGTGAGTGAGTGGCCTAGCAGCAGGCGGGTGTTTGATGTAGGGGAGAGGCGTCATATCGGATGTCACATGAGGTATCACGTAGAGATGTCTGGATACTACTAAATGTCCTATTCGCTTGAGCTATTTTTCAGCTATGGAACTATGTTTTTCTCTTACAACATTTCAGTATAAGATCAGCATAAGCCAAAGCGAACAGGGCAAAAAAAAATTACATAAGTTCTCAGTAATCCGCGAGACGAATTTATTAAGCCTAATTAATTCGTTATTAGCACATGTTTAATGTAGCACCACATTGTCAAATCATGGACTAAATAGGCTTAATAAATTCGTCTCGCAAATTAGTCTTAATCTGTGCATTTAGTTTCATAAATAGTCTATATTTAATACTTCATGTATGTGTCCAAATATTCGATGGAACAACGACTAAAGTTTAGGAGTTGGACCAAACACCCCACTGCTAATTACATACCCTCCCTCCCTGGCTCCCTCGCAGGCCAAATCTCTATTTAATTCTATTTAATCTTTTCTTGGAAAACATAATTGTTATTAGAGTGAATTAACCCTTGTTGCTCAAAACAAAAATATATATTAGAGTAGACCCATAAAAATGAAAACATGCATGTACAAACAATCTTATGACCACTCTAGCAAAAATACAAACCATTTTGGGCTCCGTTCGCTTCGCTGAAAAAACGAGCCGAAATACCGTTTCAACTGAAAAAATAAGTCAAAAAGTACGAATTATAAAACAAATGAATAGGGCCTTGGTCAACCATGAACCTTGCATGCATGCTAGCTACTTAGGAGTATATAATAGGGATGATTATTCCGTTGGAATAACAATGTGCTGTCACGGGAGGGGGTCCATAGATGGAATCGTGCATGGAAAGTAGTGCACGCAAGAGCATTATGCATATATGTGTACAGCTCTCTCCAAGCCTACAAACTTTCCACTTCGGATAGATTATCTCGCTTCTCTCTCAAGTTTGAAAGATCACCATGCACGCGTTCACACCAATCACCAATGGATCCGGCATCATCCTCATCCGTGTGTGTGTTTGAACTCGACGAGTTGCCAATCTGAAATGGCAAGAAACGCTCCATCAGCTAGCTGTCCATTATTGATTAACCTCCATATTAACCTCATGGACCAGCAGATATATGCATGGCCGGAGACGGACAGATGATCCATGGATCCATCACCCCTACACCTAGAAAATCTTAGAGAGAGGAGGGGAGGAAGGAGGAAGAAGCAACGAGGTTTGCAGGGTAGGCCCCGGCCAGCAATGGCGTTTTGCTTAGGAAATTAGGGGTAGTGGCCATCATCAGGGATCAGGCCATGACATAATCAAGGGAGAACACCCAACCCCACCCCTCTTTCTCCTCCTCTCTCTCGTCAGTCATCACCATCCACCCTCTGACCTGAGCTCCCTTGCTCCCTGCTTCTCTCTCCACCACGTCCTCTCTCTCTCTCTCTCTCTCTCTCTCTCTCTCTCTCTCTCGCCTCCCAGCCCCACACCTCTGATCTCCACTCCCCACACACATCCGCGTCTGCCACGCACGTGCAACGGTGCACACGCCGCCGCCGCCGCGTCCTTCTCCGCCGCGTTCTCCTCGCCGACGCCAACGCGCGCCGCCGTCGCTTGTGCTACATGAAGGCGCACACCACGCGGCCGGGAGAGCAAGCGTAGCTAGCTCCCTCGCTCCAAAGGTAGCTTCTTTCGCTCGGGAGGAAAGGAAGGCGAACGGACGAAGCATCATGGACGCGCCGTCGAGCAGCACGAGCACGAGCACCAACAGCAGCCGGAGCGCCTCCGAGCAGCACCAGCAGCAGCGCCACCACCACCACCAGGCGGCGGGGCACCAGCCGCACCACCCGTTCTACTACGCCGCCGCAGCCAACACGGGGGGGATGGCGCCGTTCATGGGGTCGCTGGCCATCGCGCCCGCCGCCACGTCCGTCGTGGGCGGCGCGGGGGAGGTGCAGCAGCTGGCGCAGCAGCAGCAGCAGTCGGCGGCGGCGGCGCCCGCAGGTGCAGGATCGTCCGGCGGCGCTGCCGCCGCGGACAAGAAGAAGGCCGTGGTGCCCGCGGGGAGCAACAAGCGGCCCACCAAGGACCGGCACACCAAGGTGGAGGGCCGGGGGCGGCGGATACGGATGCCGGCGCTGTGCGCGGCGCGGGTGTTCCAGCTCACGCGGGAGCTGGGCCACAAGACGGACGGCGAGACCATCGAGTGGCTGCTGCAGCAGGCGGAGCCCGCCATCGTGGCCGCCACCGGGACCGGGACCATCCCGGCCAACTTCTCCTCGCTCGCCGTCTCCCTCCGCTCTGGCGCCTCGCACCCGTCCTCCGCCTCCCGCGCCGCGGCCGCCTTCCACCACCTCCCTCCGGCGCACACGCAGCACGAGGTCGCCGCCATGCTCGGCTGGAACCACCATCACCACCAGCAGCAGCTTCTCCCACCGCCTCCGCACCACCACCACCACCACCAGCAGGCGCCGCAAGATCCCGGCGCCGGGGAGTTCATGAGGAAGCGCTACAGGGAGGGCGCCGACGACCTGTTCAAGGACCCCGCCACGCGCCAGCACCATCCCGACGACGGCGACGGCGGCCGCGGCGGCGCCGAGGGGGACGCCGAGGAGCACAAGGCCCGCGTGACGCCAACCACCGCAATGTGGGCCGTGGCGCCCAACAGCGCCGGCGGCGGCGCTTTCTGGATGCAGCCCACGTGGGCGTTCGGCGGCGGCGGCGGCGGGAGCACGGTGCAGGCGCCGCTCCAGTTCATGTCAACAAGCAGAAGCCGCAACAACTTCCCCGCCGGGACGACGATGGACGCCAACATCGGCATGCTCGCCGCGCTCAACGCCAGCGGCGGCGGCGTCCAGCAGCAGCAGCACCAGCACCAGCAGCAGGACGAGGGGCAGCAGCCGCCGGAGATGGCCCAGCGCCACCGCGGCGCGAACGGCGGCGACGCTGGGCGTGGCGCCGCGAGCCCCCAGTAAGGATGGAATCGATCGATCGCATGATGAGGTAGCAATGCAATGCTGGTGGTGGATGGTGCAGGCGGCATTTGGCGGCGATTAGGGCAGAGTTAGTGGCTTGATTAGGTGATTGCTACTGCTCTTGTGATGAGTTGATCCTCCATTGATTGCTTCTTAGTTTATTCTTCAAGGATTATTTTAGTTTGCTCGTTGGATTAATCTATGATTGTGCTGATGGGAGTGATGATTAGCTGTGGGTCCGATTAAATCACAAAAGGATCAGACTGTCAATTCTTCTTATATGCTAATGCTATGGTGCCACCAAGAAGATTGCTGAGAGATTTGTACAGTCATTGCTGCTTTTTGCTATCTACAACATGTTGATTGATCTGGGGCTCTAGGCCTTTTATTTGCAAGAACTACAACTTAACCCTAATTGAAACAAAGGGATCCTCTGGTTATTAGACTAGCTAGCTCTTGCATTACACATTCACACATATGAGGTTATATTAAGTCTCACTTTAAATGATCCAAGTCGTTTTTAATAAATAATAGTAATACCATTGTTAAGGGATGATTTTAACAAAAGATTGGCTTTGTAGGCAAGTTAATTTGACTGCATGCAGTATATATGATCCATGTTTCCCTCCTTTCTTCTTGATTAAAAACTTTAGATTAATAAAACTTTAAAAGTTCAGTTGAAAGTATTGGAGATTGGACCTTCTAGCACAACTTCAATCTTTCAGCTAATAAGATAGTAATAAAAATAGAAAATTTTGACTAGAACTGTATTAAGTTTCCACCTGAGAATCTAGAACAGCGCTAACACAAAAGTGACACCCGTCTTTTTCCGGTAACAGTGTAGCTGTTGGTGATATATATAGCATAGGTTTTGCGTTTGGGACAACTTATTGACTAGGCATTGAAACAGCAGGAGAGGGGTGTTGATCATCATCATTGATGTTTATTTGATCAGATAGCACTCATCATTGTGTACTGAGTTATTTATGTGTTTATTAATTAGTTAAGCTATAACAATGACAGCTGACGCAGATGAGGTGTTAATCATGAGCACTTGCAGTACTTCACACTAGTATATCGCTCAAAGCCGTTAGTGTCTTAGTTATGCTACAATTTAATGGTGTCAAGTCCTTGGGTAAGCTCACTTGTTTTTTTTTTTTTGCTTTATATAAACTGTATACAACGGGATTTATTTAAAGGAGGGGATTGTGCGCTAATTTAGTGACCAATGTTGCCATTGATTCGTTTTTGGATTCAGCTTGAGTGCATGGAGGCGCCATGTTATATTGTTAAATTAAATGTTACTCCCTTTTTTCTAAATTATAAGACATTTTGACTTTTCTAGATACATAGTTTTCTACGTTCTTAGTATGTTTAGATGCATTGTTAAAGCAATGTATTTTAGAAAAAAAACTAAAATATCTTATAATTTGGAATGGAGAGAGTAATAAACTATATATATATCCACTTCGTATGGGATGCTTTCAAAATTAAAAGGGTTGCGGACGCGTGCGTAACGCGGTGGTGGCACCTCCCGTTGTGGATACACCCGCTCGCATTGGATTCCCAGTCTGGGATCGAACCAGGTGCTACACTAGGGATTTTCCCAAGAGGGAGCCGAGCGAGTAGCGTGTGCGTGCGTGTGCTCGGTAGACGCATTCCGAGAAATCTCGGGTAGTCTCCTCTGTACTTTGAGCGTACGTGTAGTATAGATGTCCAATACGAGTCTTACATTATATGCCAGTATTCTTGGCGGTATTCAAAAAAATAAAAGGGGTTTTGGCTTTGAAGCGAAAGTTTAACTCTATTATTATATATCCTCATGCTTCTATCCTAATCTTTCTGCTAAAAAAAACTTTTATATTCAAAGTTTCATATATTTTAGCTACAAGTATTGCACTTGTAATAAAAAATCTAGTACAAAATCAACACAATTCAAATCTTCCAACTAGAAGAAATGAAATTTTTTGACTAGAACGCTTACACTTCCACGAGAATGTTGAATAATTGGCTTGGGCGACAAAAGTGACAGAAGTCTTTCCAGCAACAGTAATGTTGGCGTTGCCATTTAGCGTAGGTTTTGTCCTTAGTAGAGCTTTCTTATTCATACATACTTTATTGAAATGGAGTGAGGGAACGAGGGGATATATATATGGGTCATGTTCGTTTGTCTTATAATTCATCATTTTCAGTTTGTTTTTTCAGTTAGAATAGTATTTTTCTCTCGTAACAAATCATCCGGAACAGTGTTTCAGCTTTTTTTCAGCGAAACGAACGGGTCCATGGAAGTTGTGCTAATCATCACCATCACCTATAGGCTAGCTATATATGCAATATGTATTTAATTTTGTCACATAGTGGTTGTAACAAGTAATGTTCCGATCAGCTAAAAAGCTAAAACAAATTAAGGTGCTAAAAACCATTTTAAACTATCCAACCTTTTCCGATAATGCCAAGGTTGAAGATTTGTGTGAAAAGAGAAGTGTACTTTAAAAAAAAAATACATGTTCTGTTGATCGAACGGTCGGGCTACTAGTTAGGTGTTTCCATGGAATATTAGAACCCTGATGAAATTAAGATATATAGCCAAAACCTACCGTCAGAAGATTCACTGCTTTATTAATTCTTTACACATATGCTTTGGACTCTCGACCAATGTTTCCAAGAGTGGTGTAATTGTTAGCGGCAAGTTGAGTAGGGGCTGTTTGGATCTGGTGACTAAAGTTTATGAGGTGTCATATGAGGGTATCGTATGGGGCGTTCGGATACTAATAAAAAAACAAATTACAGAATTCGTCAGTAATCCACGAGACAAATTTATTAAGCCTAATTAATCCGGCATTAGCACATGTTTACTATAGCAACACATTGTCAAATCATGGACTAATTAGGCTTAAAAAATTCGTCTCGCAAATTAGTCGTAAACTGTGCAATTAGTTTCGTAATTAGTCTATATGTAATACTCCATGCATGTGTCTAAATATTCGATGGGACAACGACTAAAGTTTAGGAGGAGGAACGAAACACCCCTATTAATGGTACGGTTGTGTGCGTACGTGCTTTTCCTGTTTATATCTAAATTTGATTGATGGATCACCCCGGTTGTAATTTGTTTGCATGTACGGAGTATATATATTAAATATCCAATATCATGGATTAATTGACACAACTTTGTCATATTCGTACTAGTTTATGCTTTGTCATGACAAAGCTTTAACCCAAACCAAACGCAATCTAATAGTTTTGAGGAGTGACACAAATAAAACTTTGTTTTAATTAAGGAGTGATCATATAGACGTACTATTCTGTAGCTGGCCACAGAATAAGTTATTCTGTGGCCAATTTGAGTTACGATAATTACTATACTAATTTACAAGATTATGGTAACTCTCTTACAAGTGATTTACTATAGCATTATGGTAAGTATTATCTTAAATAGTAACCCATGTACCGTAAATATGTGTTGACATTATCATAAATTAGTACAAACATTATCGTAAATCAAGGTGGCCATAAAATAAATTATTCTCGTGACCAAATTGCATGAGAATAGCCTATTATATATATATATATATATATATATATATATATATATATATATATATATATATATATATATATATATATATATATATATATATATATATATACTACCCTGTAGCAGGCTACAATTAACTTATTCTGTAGCCACTTTGAGTTACGATAATTACTATGTTAATTTATGAAATTATAGTAACTCCTTACTGAATGGTTTACTGTAACGTTATGGTAAATATCCCCATATGTTATAGTAACCCAACTATCATAAATATGTATTGACATTATCGTAAATTAGTATATAAAATTATCGTAAATAGAGGTGACTACAGAATAACTTATTTTTGTAGCTGCCTACTGAATATACTCTCCCTATATATATATATATATATATATATATATATATATATATATATATATATATATATATATATATATATAGAGAGAGAGAGAGAGAGAGAGAGAGAGAGAGAGAGGGGGGGGGTGTTTGAGAGCTTTATATATATTTAACACATAGTATATATATGTGCAAGTGCATAATGATAATTTGGTCACTAATGCGTGATGTCGCAATTAGGTATAGGAATCCATACGCATGCTACAAGGACAACTAATAAAGAGGAAAAACGAATAAAAATATAAATAAAGACGGACAAGGAGAGGGCACTATCATGCAGCCAAAAATTAACACAAAACGGAAACGTCATTATCTACCATGATTTGTTGGCAGACGATAGATATTTTATTAATCACGGCAGACGATATTTTAGTTTGGTCTGTTCCTGCCGTGTTGCGTGCCCATCGTGTCAGCTGCCCTAATCCATCCGCAGCGTAAATCTCAAAGCACATCCAACGGCGTGCGACTCTCGGCTCGGCTCCCATCTGCCTGTTCCTGTCGCCCACAACAGCACAATCGAAAACTACTGCTCAAGGAACATCATCAATCTTCCACAACTTTGATATAGCTCAAATAATGGATGATAGTTCCTTTGCTAAGTTGTTAATATCGGGAGCCTGATTACAACTCCAATGATAAGATTATACTCCGTCCCTCAATAAAAGAATATAATTCTCGTTTTTTTTGACAAGTCAAATGATTTAAATTTTGACCAAAATTATATAACAATATATTAAGTAGTATACGAAAAGAAGAAAAAAAGACTGGCAGTGATGCATGACTGGACTGATGTGTGACGTGAAGTAATCGTCGGTCGCAGCATCAACTGGTCCTCCGATCCGACTCCGAGCAAGGAGTGGCGTGCTACGAAGCAATGGGTGTTGCAGTGAGAAAGGCGAGGCAGCAGAGCAGACGGCCGGCCGGGCGCAGGCGTGCTGCGACACGCTCGAGCAAGCCATTGGCAACCCTCCTGGCCGGTCGGTCCGGTCACTGTGCTCCGGTGAATTTGGCTGCCTTGTCACGGATACAACGCTCCCCTTTATTTTACCCCTTTCGTGCTGCAGGC